AAACAAGAGTGACACTGTCCAAGATTTTAGCTTTGAACAGAAAGTAGGCTTTTGTGGATTTTCAGTGGTTCTTTACCCTCTACGTAAACTCAAACCACAAAAGTATGAATTTGTACAGCCTGTATATTTTTCCTAATTAGGAAAATCCCATTTCACATGTAGTAATGCCATTATGGTATGAATAGAGTACCTTGTTCCAAACATGCATCATGCTTCCTGTATTAATATAAACAATAAGTATCTCTCTTTCTTTTTCACACACACACACACACACACACACACACACACACACACACACACACACACACACACACACACACACACACACACACACACACACACACACACACACACACTCACACACAGACACACACACACAGATTAAGTGCTGTCTGGGGAAAAGAGCTCAGAGGAGAAAATGAAGCGAGGAATCAGAAACAGACACAAGGTCTTTCTTCGACTTCGCCACTCTCAAATAATAATAATAATAATAATAATAAGTCTCAAAAATGGTGCGTTTTTAAAGGCACAACTACTTTTTTCCTTTTTTTCTGGTGAACATACTCATCTCATGTGATGTGAGTTTAGCAGCACTTTAGCAGCACTATAACAACATGTCTGAAGTGCATATCTTAGTGTAAGTGTTAAAAAGCACACACTGAAAACACCGAGACAGACACAGCAAGGACAAAAAGTGACATGAGAACAGAGAGATTAAGAGGAGGAGAGAGAAAGATTTTAACAGGAATGCAACCAGAGAAGGAAGCGGAAAGGTTTTTTTTTTTTCAGAACCATGCTTCCTGTTCATTGCTTTGATTTAGTTTCCAGGCAATGCTGCTTCATTTCCAAAATATGATTGTGAAACTTTGGAGCAGTTTAATGGGTTATGTAACAAAAATAAATGATTTTACACTGCCTATCAAAATAAAGACTGGAAGACTGTCATGTTAAATATCGGCCTGCTTCAGTTACTGTTGACTATTATGTTTTTGTCAGCAGCACCACATTACAATACTGAGATACACATGTGTTTATGCTATGGCTTTGGCTAGTGCTGTCACACAATGTACAGTACGATGGATGAATGATCAAATATTTCAAAAATGTCAGAGGCACACAATTCTAGACTTGTAACAGAACAGAAGTCAGCTATAATCCCACCACAACCTGCAGTTTATCCTCATTTTGTGTTGTATAATTTATAACAACATCCACCAACAGATGACCTTGGAAGGAGAGTAATAAACACCAACTCCTCTCCATGGAGAGCCAAGACGACTGACAATCACAGGCTGTTTATTTGTCTGCAGTTTACCTGGCTTCAGGCCATCTGTCTATCTGTTTTCTTTTCTGCTTTTAACACAAGGAGGTGCGACATGCGTCTTCTTTTTATCAGACTGAGCCTCCGGATGCTCGTCATGTGTGACCTTGAATTGTTTTTCCTTGTTTTGGTCTATCAAAGTCACTCAAGTTTGTTAAACTAAGTGTAGATTTATGCAAATGCTTGTCATGTGATGAAGAGCTGTGTGTGTGTCCTGTCTTAAAGATGATCTGTCCTAATCAGGAATGTACCACAGATCATTTCACAGCATGACCTTGACAGTAATGTTAAACTGTGTATCCAGATGTTGTCGTAAACATTTTGAATGTGGCTTATGCATTTGAAGAAATGCATCAACAACCACAGTGGCTATAAGAATTACAAAGGTAGCCATTTAGAAATAGCCCAATGAACAATAATGGCAGTTGGAAGGTCTTTTTGTAGAGAGGCACATCCCTTCAGGACTAGACACATTGTCAGATAAACACGCTCAGATACCCTGAGGCAAGCCCTGTTTCTCCTACTCTCTGTGAAATGCATGCAGGTTTTTTATATTAGTAAAGTACACAATGTTAGTTAAAAAATTAAAGCTTCCTCAAACTATATTTCGACAAGGAAACCCTCTTCCAGAACCTCAATATATGGATATTGATCAACATTAAAGCCAATATCGTGAGTTGATACTACACTTAAAAGGGGTATATTTCTTCTGGTAAATTGGTAATCCAGATTTGGTATTTGGTATGATCTCTTGATTCAATGTATACATATTTATTTGTTTATTTGTTTATTCCACATTATTTGTGCTTTTTCTCGTTTACTGGAATGGATATATAGAAACAATGGCTGTCATTGTTGTCTGTTCAATAAGAAGGATGTTGTGTCTCTTTTTGGTTGCACTCAGCAACCCCGATGAATCACGAGTCCCATCACACGCAGAGCACAACAAGGCAATTGTGCTCTGTTTAATTTTGGCCAGCAGATGACACCAAACTCCTGATCAAATGGGGCAATAAGAAGCAACTCCCATTCGCTTGGACATTTTTGTTGAATGACACCAGTGGTACATTTACCCAAGTATTTAACTTACTGATACTCCACAATATTTCAGAGGGAAATAGTTCCCAATCCCTTGAAACAGTGACAGCTTGCTGTGGCTCCTTGTCTTTTTCAAGTTGTTCCACCAAAGATATATTTCTCCTTTTAATTTATTTAATGTTTTTTTATATTTACATAACTGCCTTAAACATCCAGTATTTATTACAAAAAATAAAGAATTACAAACTTCAGTTGCAGGTCTTTTTTCCCCTCCCCACGTCAAGACCCCTCTGATTTGTCTTGGGTCACTACTGAGGGACGCGGCAACTATGTTAGAAACTACTGGAAATACCTGACTACTTTCTGTAGAGTAGCAACAGCTATAACACTATCCCATGCATCAGTATTACCAATCAAATATGGTCAATTATGAAAACAGTCTCAGTGGACATTGTTCTGCATAATGAATACACTTTTAACTTTAAATATGTTTTGATTATGATACTTTAGTACTTTTTCTTTTACTTTGAAGCTATTTTAAGTTTTTTTCCAATGCAGGACTCTTAATTGTAGTATCGTTCACAGCGCTGTTTTGGAGAAAAGTATATGAGAGCAATATGTCATGAGAGGAATATTTTTTGGCAAATAATTGTTTCACATTAAAAAAAACTCCTCCAACTTTGGAGTCCTGCAACTTTTGACAATGTGCCATTCTTTATTTCAATTAAAATCTAATCATCTGCATTACTATGCTGTGCATGCTGAAAGAGTACAGTATAATGTCATCCAAACCTTCCCAGTATATCTTCTTTCTCACTAAACTACATAGGTGTCCTGAGCTGGGCCCGCTTTTCATTGTTTTCTAATGTGATTGTATGTCAGCGACCATTTCTCCTCTTTGTAAAATGATCCAGTAGAGATGCACAGTCCTTGTTGTAGCCCACTGGCAGCCTGCTCTATCTAACGTTGACTGCCCTAAAGTTAACGTACACTTTATGCTTATTCTGAAGAAGGGACATTCTCTCAATCATTGGTTATCTATAAAAAATCCCTATTGTTGGAGATACATGTTTTTATAATTGGAGAGTGACAAAATGCCATATGCTGTAAAATAAACTGTGCTGTAAGATGTTTACATGATTATATATCAAGGGTTTGTCCAAATCCATCGACCCAACAGGTTAGCATTATTTTCAGATATCTCCATCCAGACATTGTGTCTGGCTATGCATGCAGGGGGATTCCAGCAACATGAAACGAAGTATGGGATTAGAGTTAATAAGAGAAGCCGACCATTTGTTTCCAAACAGGTGTCCTGGGAGGAAGAATCCTTGAACACAGACGAGGACCGAAGAGAATGTAAAAGTGACGCATCTGTGGATAGTGTAACAAATGTCGTCTCTCACCAGGGGCACAAAAACATGGATGCTCCTTTTTCACATGTCTGAGTGACAATGGTGCCTTTCAGTAGAGAGGCAACAGTTGAGGTCTATAGCTGTATACATTACGTGTAATGCAGTTCTATGGAGACAAAGGGGTGATGTTTGTCATGCAAAGGAAATAAAATAAGGTTAATCCTGGCAGGCTAAGGACTTCATCGCTTGTGGCGAACATGATCACCTTTCAACCATTCAAGGTGTTTTATTCTCAAAAAACCAATTTGTTCTATTCGTGACAGTGAGTCTTTGCTCAAGGATTTTGGAAAATGTACTTGTTTTTTAGTGCAATGTGGTAGATTTGTAACTTATTTGTAATGATGTACACAGTATCTCAGTTATTCATTACAGAAGATATCAATACAGTGTAATTAGGAAAAGCATGTATGTTGATGTCATTGTTTTATAAATGGTGTTCATGTATGCTCATCTGCAGGTTTGAGGTTAAGTTAGTGAAATGTGGATGAAATTTGATCATGTCTAATTATTATATTGATAGTTTCAAAATACATTTCCTTTTTCTGAATTTCAAAGTGTATGTACTAGGTATGTACATAGCTTTTATGATTATTGGATTTGAGGTTAAGCACATCTAGCCAGCAGCTATAACGTTCCCTCTCAATAGTCATTTTTTAAGCGGGAAACCTAACACAGCAGTTGTAGTTACCCTGAGCGATCTGTATCAAATCCCACTGACACTTTAATCTGCTCGGTTTAAATCTGACAGCAAACACTGCCAGAAACTGTTGCTGTCTAAACCAGGAGTCACAGAAACATAGATTGTGTGTGTGTGTGTGTGTGTGTGTGTGTGTGTGTGTGTGTGTGTGTGTGTGTGTGTGTGTGTGTGTGTGTGTGGTGTGTGTGTGTGTGTGTGTGTGTGTTTGTGTGTGTTCAAAAGGGTCTATAATTAGATGAAGGGAGGGCTTGATAGTCCCACCTCTATGGTTTTAGGTGTCTTGAGGATGTCACATACTATAAAAGCCACACTGCACAACTCCTTATGTGACACCTGCTCAGGTACCAGCTAACGTAAGATCAGGTCTCTATATTTACACCACCAATTTGTGTTTTGCTAAATTATCCCTTTTGTGTTTTTGATCTGACTCAGTTGTTAATGTTACTTTATTGTTTTAATTGTTGTTGATATTGATTTCTTCTTTATTTATATAGGATTTATTGATCTGACTGACCCTGCTCCAGACAGCATGAGTCACTATCTTTGTCTCCCTCTGCTGGTTGTGCTCCTGCAGCCAGCTGTGTGTCTCTACAACTGCTCGTCTGACTACCAGAGGATCCCTGGTAGGCTGAATATCTCTTTCACTGAGCCAGATAGTTTGGTTTTAACGCGCATTATGTACAAATTAGAATAGATGGTGTTAAGTAACAATCACAAAATGTGAAAATTACCTATTCGTCCTGCTCATTTATTTTCCTCATCTCTGTCTCTGCATCAGCAACTGCATTATAATCTTCATTTTCCCTTTGATTCAAAATGGGAAAAAATCACACATAATTAAATAATTCTTGGTCTTTTTTATTTTTTATTTTTCTTACGTAGACAATTCAGATATGACAGTTGAATGTGGGGCCAGCATGATCACGCTAGAGATCAACCTGTGCACAGCTCAGTGGGCAGGCTTCAACACCACAGACCTGGCTCTGAACGGGAAGCACAACACCACCGAGTGCCAGGGCACCATCGACAACAGTGTGGACCCTGCAGTTATCCGTTACAAGCTTCCTGTTAACGACAGTCAGGAGAACCCCTGCCGCCATTCTCTGCAGGTCAGAAGGTCTCTAGTATAGGACGTTGAATATTGTTAAATTACTGTACAAATAGTGATATTACTGCAACAGGGATTTAGATATACATATCACTTTATTAAGGATGATGTTGCAGTTTAGTGGACTATATTACAATTGTGTTTCTGCAGATTGTGGATGAGGCCCCGGACCCCTCAGGTCCCTTCAGCAGCTTTTCAAGTATCCAGTCAGTTATCATCACCGGGTTCATTGACACACCCCGAACTGACCAGGGGCTGATCAGCTATTCCACAGACCTCTACTATCACTTCTCCTGCCGATACCCGCTGGAATACCTGATCAACAACACACAAATTGTGGCGTGAGTAACTTTCCATCTTAAAAAAGTGTTGTTAATATACCTTATCACTTTAGCTTGAGACACATAACATAAACACAGTCATTTCTTTCAATGATTTTTCAGCTCCTCAGTGTCTGTTGCGACCAGCGATAACAATGGAACCTTCATTGATACACTTAAAATGAGTGTTTTTAATGTAAGTTGGCATTTAGTGGCCTTAGACAAACTCTACTCTGCTATAAACATATTTCACTTGATGTATTTCACTCTAACATCTTATTGTTCCAGGACTCAGACAATATCTACCCTTTAGCAGTACCTTCGACAGGACTTGAGCTCCGAACCAGGATCCATGTGGAGGTCAAGGCTGTTAACCTCACAGGAACGTAAGTGACAGATTACTGGACGCACAGAGTGAATGTGCGTATCAGAAAAACGGACAGGGAAATAAAAATGGGAAAATTGTTTTCTTGTAGCAAACAGTACTTCATTGGCCCACTGTCCTTATTTCAGTTTCTATATACTGCTGGATCACTGCTTTGGCACTCCCACTGCTTACAACATGTTGAACAGTGAGCAGCACAACTTCTTCACCGGGTATGGACGCACACATGCATCATTAGTGTAAATTCTGCTATATGCATGGGGAAATAATCGAAACTCCACATCTATTTTTTTTAAATATAAAGTGTATCTAAATAATCTCCATACTCTCCACAAGCTGTTCATTGGACCAAAGGACATCTGTGACAAGCAATGGCCTTTCCAAGGTCGCCCGCTTTAACTTCGAGGCCTTCCGCTTTGTTCAGCACCGCGACCAGGCAAAGTCCAGCATCTATCTGCACTGCATACTAAGACTCTGTGAACCAACCAAATGCCAAGAGCTGCTGTCTGTAAGTTGAGAAGTCAAGAACAAATGACTTTGCTTTAAAGACATGAGAAGATAATGCTAAAGCAGCTTTCAAAGGCTAGCCAAAACTATATTTTAGGATAAAGATTTGAAGTATAGAATTGACCGGTTTTTTGCATCTTGGTAATGAAGGAAATAGATATAAAGATAAAAAATTATTTTTTGTTTTATCTGTAGTGTTGAGGAGACAGTAAAAGTATAGGTGACAGGAAATGTACGGAAAGACAGGAAACTGCAACCAAGTTTATTGAGTCAAATTGTTTTGGGGAAATTCTGGCTGATGGTTGGCACCTTTTTTGAATCCCGGGCCTCCAGGTAACCCACATTTGCCTTTAAAGTGAATATTTTACAATTTGACCATAAAAAACAAAACACGTGTTATTTCTAACATCTACATTTTTTATAGAGAAGCCATACTTTGACACTATATCAAATGGATTAAACTAAACCCAAATGCACGTGTGTCGTTTTTCAGGGCTGTAATGCCAGAAGAAAAAGGTCTGTGACTCCTTTTGGGAAAGAAAGCAGTGAATCTGCAACAATTTCAGTTGGACCTCTTTACACTGGCAGAGAAGGTAAGTCCCTGCAAACACAATACTATAGTAAACAATGATAACACGTTTTTTCTTAATTACCCTTTTTTATTTACCACTTCTAAAGAGAGGCCAAATGCAGCTGCATACAGTGAGTATATTGTAATCAAATGAACCACTATAAATACATGTTCTTATCTTGAATGTGTATAACTCATAAATAAATCCCAATTATTTGCATCTGTGTGCATCAGGTTCTGACGTGGCACCAGAGAGGGATGAAGTGAACGTGACTGGCCTGGTGGTAGGAGTTGTGTTCGGCTCTGCAGCTAGTGCCTTGCTGGTTCTGGGCGGCTGGTTCGCCCTGAAGAAGTTTTATTGGGCAGGAGGATTACCTCGTGCTTTTAACTGACAGACAACTGGCAAATTGTCTTCTCCTTGTCACCTCATACCTCATACTATATTGTGACTTATTCTGAGAACCAAGTATCTGATAATGTTATGATTTGTCGGTAATACTACATGTTCTTGTCAGGTGACCTTTGGAACTAGGGAAAAAGATTAGTATTTTATATCACTTCTTCTGTCTATACTTGATGCATCTGCACTCATTTATCAGTTATGAAGGAACAGGCAAACCAGAACTGTCTAAAAGAAGAAACATGAAATATGGAAGTCATTTCAGAACAAAGTCATTTTAATATTTTATGTTTTTTTACATTTGTTTGATACTAGCCTGTAGGTCTGGCAGTCGTACAATTTTTTTTTTGCATGTACAGAATCTTATGTTTTATAAAGTATATATAAAAAAAACACTGGGAGCACATTATAATCTGCAGTATATAGGTCATATCTGTTTTGATAATATTACAAATAAAAGTCAAATCATGTTGGCGTTGCATTCTGTGGTTGACATTACATTGCACAGTAAACATATTTACAAACTAATTGACATACAGAATGAAACCAATACATCAATCAAAACCAAACACTCATAAGTATTTACAAGCATCTTACTGTGCTGGTACAGTAGCAAACAACAACCAAAATAATGGTTAACAACTAACACTTTAGGACAGTATAATTCTAACTACTCTGCATGTAAAAGCCCAACTTGGCAAGAGTTGAACATTTGCCAAAAGCTATAAACTGTGTGGCAGAACAACAGTTCTTGCTCTGTAATAAAATATGTCAAATTGCATAATATATATTGTAAAAAATGAACTAAAATTCAATTACTCACATTATACACTTTGATAAGATAATAACAGCAGTTTATTGGCATTTTTATTATAAAAAATATGACTATCACTACACTGAGTGCAGAATGTCTTCAAGCAGAGCAGAAAGTTTAACTGAGAAGTCCTCGTGCAAATGTCCAGCTGTCTGTACAGACGATGAAGAAGAAGAAGAAGAAAAAGAAGAAGAAGGAGACAGTCTGGTGTCTCCTCTGACCTCCAACTCATCTTCCAGCCCTTTAAACAGCCTCTCCATCCGGGCCTGAAACATTTGGCTCTGCAGGGCTGCATTTTGGCAGAAGCACTCCATACTGGCTGTCAATTCCGCCTTACTGGGCCGTGAAGTTCCTAGCAGAGCAGCAAGCTCTGCTCTGAGGGCCCCCACCCTGTTCTGTGCCTCCACCCTCACAGAACTCACTTCCTGTCCCATCCTGGAGCTAATTTCTTGCCAGTGGTCTGACTTTGCTGCCTCTTGCTCACTAGCACTGGTCTCTTTCAGATGGTTGATCACCTCAATGGTTTTAGTATGGAAGTCACTGATGAGGTCAGCCACCTTGGAGCTGCTGTGCTCCAGCGTTAGGCTCATCCAGTGGAAGGCTTCCTGGTACAAAGCCGGAGTGGCCTCTGCCTGAGCCTCAGCTGCCTCCAGACTCTGCAGATAGAGGCTCAGATGGCCACACAGGTCTTGGGTGCTGCTGCTTAGAGAGCTTTGGAGCTGCTGGATGAGGGGAGCCAAGCGCTCCCTCATGCTGGCCAGGGTGGAGCTGAGGTGGTCCGAAGAGGGGGACAACCTCTCTCGCAGTTCGGCCAGCTCTTGGCGCAGACGGGTACGCAGACGCTCCGACTCAAGGTTGAGTTTGTGCTGCATCTCCTCTGCCACAGGGTTTTTGCTCTGATCATCATGGTTGTAAAGGCCACTGCTGTCTATGTGGCTCTTGTATATTTTACTGAGCAAAGAGAGACAAAAGTACAACATTAATAAGGGTTTACATTTGTATTATCTTTAAATATATTACCATGACTTGAGCGTATGGCTGCAAATGAATTTTAAGGTCTTAGATTAGTTTACAGTACTTAGTTCAGTCAACTTACTCAACATCTTTTGTGGATTCTGTCTTGTCTTGAGACTGGTTGTCTTTTAAGTCAGTCAAGGGTGCCTCCCTGGTGTGACGGTGGAGAGGGTATGCTGAAGACAAAGAAAACATACATTAAAAAAATGAATACATTGCTAAATAAGGGCTGTTGTAAACAGTATTTAAAGATAAATGTATACCTGTAGTTGCCAAGAACGATAGAGCGAAGATCACAACTTTTAGATGCATGTTTATCTTTCTGTGGAGGAACAGAAGATACAAAAAAAACGTTACATACAATTTTATATTAGAACAAACATAAACATTTCCAGATTAAATAATGATATGTGATTCATTGTATGTACATTCCCTGTTTGGTCTAAGACAGAAGACAAGCGAAAGACTAATATGTGAAAAAGTGGCTGGCCTTTACCTGAGGATCTAGGTCTGCAGGGGGACGTCTTCTCTCGTCTGACTTATAAAGGTCCTTGTTATCAGAGCATCAATCCAAACTGCCTGTGTCAACAGGCAACACGTGGAGGGTCAGACTAATGGCAGAACAGAACACAACACCACTCACACACACACACACACACACGCACACACACACACACACACACACACACACACACACACACACACACACACACACACACACACACACACACACACACACACACACACACACACACACACACACACACACACACACACACACACACACACACACACACACACACACACACACACACACACACACACACACACATCCACGTTTGAACCTGCATAAAACTTACCAACATTCTTGCAGCATTGTTTGAATGTAATTACGTCACGTCAATAAGGATGCATCACATTAGGATAGTGTGTAAAAAAGAGAAAGTACCATGATAACAAATATGATAGAATGGAAGTAAGTAGTAAAATTGAAAGTAAGTAAACACTACTGATAATGGTAAACTGTGTCTTCTGTGCTCTATCTTTACAAAGAAATCAAGCCAACTTTAAGTGCATTATTGAGTCTTGAATGACATTTCTGCATTTGCCTGCATAGTTAATGAATACAAAATTAATAGTATTGTTTCATATTACAAGTCATTTCCCATCTGTGAACACTCTGTATTTCAGCAACTAGTAGAGTATTTCTGAATGCGATGTGGAGGATTTTGTGCACCAGTGACATGGAAATGTGGGTGAAAGTTGAACTGTGTTTAGTTAGATAACTTACGAGACGTCATTAAAGGATCAAAGTCCATGGCTACCGTGATGAAAGAGTTATTCCACTTATCTAAAGTCCAATTTTATTTCAATACAATAACAGAGTGAGTAAGACTTTGGTTACTGTACATAAAAACAGCACTGTTGGCTACAGTTAATTGTAGAACAGTTTGCCATGCTGACATATTGTATGTTCCAACATAAGACCTTGTTAGACACATGGATGCACATGCAGTAATAAGCAACACTTTAGTTCATGAAGACATTACTATAACTCTCAATCTTTTGAAATGATTGGACTGTTCGATACACTTTATATGATAATAAGTTAGGGCTAGGTATCATATTCTATTTGAATTTGGAGCAAAGGGCAACAATCTTCCCTTGGTTGTTTTACACAGGTGTGCAGAGATTACCATCAGAGGAACTGTCTGCGTGTCAAAGGTTTACATAATAAAGAAAAAAACGTTACTTTTGTCAAATTGACAAAGGTGTTTTTCCTTTAAACCAAACAAGTAACATATTTGTGCAAATGCAGGTTACTTACATAAGTAGAGTACATGAATAATTTTATTTTATATTACTGCATTTACACTTTCAGTTAACAGATAAAACCTTCATATGTTGCTGTATATTACAGGTCAGTTATGGGTCAAACAGACCCTGACTCTTATTACCATCAAGTAAAACACAAAGAACAACAGTATAAATATTCAATATGTGAAGTGAAGTTTAGAGTGGCAGCTGGTTTGCATAGTCAGGTACTGAATCTGAGCTTGATATGTGGATTTCAATGTGAATACAGTGGCTGCTGTGATGCACAAACTGCTGAGTAGACTCCTATAAAGCAAAGCTGCGTTGATGTACATTGGAAGCCAAATCTTTAATCAGTTTCATGGTAGGATTGAGAACAAATGCCGTAATGTGACCCTGCAGCACCAGGCAGCCCTACTCTGTTTTCCCGGCTACTTTTCATCAGCATTGAGTCCCTCTACTGTCACTGTCACCTTACCTCGCAGGCCTCATAAATCATTCAGCATGCCATTGAAAGTTATGCAGACAAACTCTCCTACTGCACGTGTGCTGCATTACAAGCAGACAGGAGAGGTTTATCAAGGGAGTGAAGTTTTAACAGCATCTCCAAAACTACTTTATTGGCTATGACTCAAACAAGGCAGGAAACCAAGACACTTTTTACAGATCCTGGATGAAAAATGTAAACACTTCTCCCTGAGTCTGGAAAAAAAAGCGTAGTTTACTTGTGGACTGGTCCTTTAATTCTGCAGGTGGACATATTAACCATGGTGAGGAGATACGACAAGAGCTTCAGGTGTGTGTGGTGGCTGAGTGCTTTGGTTCTTACTCTGGTTCATGGAAACAACTTGAGCCAACAGGTCCAGGAGAGGCCACCCTGCCAGCCAGGTAGGCTATCTTGACACACATTCAGCTTTGGATGACATGACAAAATATCAGATAAACATTATATTACATTATTTTTCTGCATATGCTTAGCCACTTTTTTTTAAACAAGTTTGGTGACAACACTGACTTTGATATTAACCTGCACACTTCTTTGTATGCATTTTATTATTTCCAATAGGTTTTTACTGCCCCTTGGGGAGCTTCACTCCACTCCCCTGTCCCAAGGGAACCTATGGACCAGCAGCTGATGCTGTGTCCATAGAAAGCTGTCTTAAGTGTCCTCCTCAACACTACTCTCCCAGACCAGGCCTATCTGCCTCCCTGCCCTGTGGCCCTGTGGCTCAGCAGCCTCTGTCTGGTCAGGACACTTGCATCTGCTTGGGAGAAGGACAGACTTTCCAGGTGACAAAGACGTTTCACACAATAGTAGGATCAACCCATTCATTGCCCAACAAATTTGTTTCCTCTTGTTTTTGTGACATTTTTTATATCAACACAGCCAACTACAATACAAATGACCCACTTTGGTTTTTTGCCCTGCAGTATCCTTCTTTATTCTATAAACTTGAAGAAAAACTTACATTTCTCAAGCTTATATTTTGATAAATTGTTCACTTCAATATGAAAGTAGCTTTCTCACTGAGAAAACATTACACTGTACAATCTCTAGCTTCAAGCTGAAAGAGCTCTAGATCAAGTTCCCTCGCAGTAGAGTCAGGTTTCCTATTCTGTTGGAACTTGCAAAGCCCTTTACTCATCGACTCATAATAAGAATGAGATTTTTTCACACTATTGCAAGGGTAAAGATGCAAGAACTAAATATATAAAAAATAAAAATAAATGAATGAATGGTGAAAGAAAGGAAACAATGAATGAAGTACGGTATTAATCTTCAAATTAAAACTTTAGACTTCATGAAATGGTAAAAAGCAAAGCGTTCAAAATTGAAGGTTAAATACTGCGCATGCTCAGTCAGACTCGTTTTTCCTCTTCTTTTATTTGTTTAATGGCAGCTAGCCCTGTAGCCTCTGTTGCTACTTGGCAGTTTTTCAGTAAGCTTCACTCAAAACACTAATTACATTGTTTTACAAATGTTCCAACAACTGCTACTTAGACCAGTAAGAAGTACATATTGAAGATCAGAGTAAAGTTGACTGATATAAAAGTCAGGACAGCTATATAACCGGATTAGCATAATAGAGTTAACAGCCTGACCAAACTGAAATGCCTTCCACATAATACGACACTTTGTTTTAACCTTGCCTCCTTTTATGCAGACCAGTGACGGGCTTTGCCACTGCACCATCGACTACCAACCTGCTAACAACGGAGATGTGTGTGCACAGAAACAGTACGACGTCTGCAGCGATGGAAAAACTCGTTCACAGTATGGAAACTGTATGGACAGATATCAGTGGTCTCTTCACTGCATGCAGCAGGTTAGACTTTTTGCAATTATGTATCACAGTTAGACGTACAAACTAAAGTAGAGCAGAAGTAAATCGTGTAATTCACTTACTAACACTTAACCCAAATATCTGTCTGAATGATATTTGAGGGTTTTGATAGACTGTAAAGTAATCTGTTTACAGAACACACTGACGAAATATACTCCACAATCACAGACAGCGAGGCTAATGAGAACAACCTAGATGTCTTTGCCCTTTCCTCTATGAACTTGAAAATACTTTATCAAGTAGAGGCTTGTTTTAGTCCCACTTAATATTTAACCACAAAGTGCTTCCTATGACTGTTTCTGTGCAAGGCCTTCACTTTTCTCTGCAGGCAGTGTTTATTTTTGTCCCTGCGGTCCATAGCAGACTTTGGTACAAATGACCTTCCACCTATATAGCCTACTCACTTATACTTAGCGTAAATTGAGAATACTGCCACTAAAATGAATTTAAATAATACAACACGCAGAAAAAGCTGGTACAAGCAGATCAATTATATAAGATTAATTTAAAAAATAAGTAGAGTTGTTTAAATCCCAGCATTGCTTTCCTGCAGGTGTGTCAATCTGCAGAAGACTACAGGGGTTATGATGGAGAGCTGGGTCTGTGTGTTTGCAAAGAGCCTCCTGGAAGAGCTCCGTGTGGAGGCCTTTGTAGGAGAAGGCCAGCTACTGAACTCGAGTTGCTATGCCGGACAAATGGAGAAATGGAGCTGGTGTGGAGTTATGGCCACCAGGTGAGGAATAGAAGCATCAAATAGATAAAGACACACACAGAGGAACATTTCCAAGCACTAAATCGGAAGAAATACAATGGGAACGTGTGCTTTTTAGTATTTTTTGGGAATACAATTGAACCTGCTGTATCCAAAAATTGTTCTTCATGTTATCCATACAGTATTTCCATTAAATAAACATAAAGAATAGTTTAAGTAACATTATCTGGTCAGACCATATGAACTACACCTTTACACAATACAGGCATTATCACACCAGAAGTGGAAGCGCAGGACAAGCGTCTTTTGTGTTGCAGTGATCTATTAATTGCAAACACTGTTCTTTCAGGTGATGGGTGTTTCAGGCAAGCTGCAGGAGACGTTTCTTAAACGCTCAGACTCTGATGGAACTCTGTGCAACAGCCATATCAGCTCCTCACATGCTGTCTACATTGTTCAGACAACAGGTAGAGACACAAATTGGCTTTCTGGGTATCTCTCTATTGCTCTTCCCGTTCATCTCCTACATCTTTCTCTCCTTTGTGGTCTGATTGCAGAGGCGGGTTTTCTCGGCCTCCTCAGCGGCCTCCCAAAGGAACTTCAGCGACTGTTTACTGTTACCACAGAGAGGAATGCGGAGCTGAACACTCAGAGCTCAGCTGGTTTGTCACTGCAAAACCATAACTTTTGATGAATAAAACACAAATTAAAATGAATAATCCATGATGAAAGTACTGCACTGTTGTTGTTTTATAGAAAGAGATTTTGATATCCTCTGGGAAGTCACTAAAGTTGAAAATATCAGTCATGAAGGAAGAGAAAACAATGGAAACAAGAGTGATGTCAAAGAAGAAATAAGAGAACTGAGTGTAACCGGAGTTTTGAACCCCACAACGTGTCTCCAGTTGGGCGATGTTATCCTGTTTACTGTTGACACACATCACTATCCTCAGTATGATCTGTAAGTCAGATTCCAGGCGTACAATAGTTTGATTTTCATGTCCATTTTTAACACTATGAAACGGTGCTTCGACTAAATCCTTACTACCTGTCTTTCAGTGACAATTTATACAACACAAACAGAGATTTTGACTGGGGGGCAGTCAGACGGCTGAAAGAAGAGCTGACTCTGTCCTGGACTCCTCCAAACTTCTTTGCGTTGGTCTTCAGCCAAGCTGGAGTATACGTTTTTACACTGAGCAGCCAACACCACAAACACATGGTAACTAAAATGAAATAATGAGGCAAGTTATCATGAGTAACACACATTTAACTTTTTTGACGTTCAATATTCCTTACCAAATTTCATTTTGTATTACAAACCGCTTTTCTGACTGCTTATTTTGTAGCTGTCTATCATAGACATAAGCCCTTTTTTGTAAGAAATTGAGATGAAGGTGCAAATGAAAGAAATGGGTATCATGTTACCACTTTACTCATGTACAAGAGCTTCCACATGCATTTGCTTGTTGAGAACTACTAATACACTTGTGTTCTCTTTTTACTCAGTATGTGCGGGTGATGCCAGCAGGCGGTCAGTGTTATGAGACCGGCCCCTTTTTCCCCACCATCCCTCGTCATGTGACCAGGCTGGGTATCAGTAGGAGACGCAACCTGTTACTAAGGCCTGATTGGCTGGTGACCGGAGGACTGCTATTTGGAGCTGTTGTCATCCTCTGTTTATGTGTGACACTGCTGGTTAGTGTACAAACACACATGATCACATGTTCAAAGTTGACCTTTTTCACATTCATCCCTTTATCCCATATTTAGATCCTGTTTCGTGAATATGGATGGCCTGAGAAGAAGCCAATCAAAGCGCGGTACCGCTTGTTGCAGCTGTCCTACAACATGGACGACTACTCATCAAAAGGCTCAAGGGTGATCTCACTAAGGAAGATTCACAGAAATCATCAAGCTAGAATGACACAGGACTCCATTCAACCAGGTGCAATAATACACACACGCACACACACACACACACACACACACACACACACACACACATTCATTCACGCACAATTTCAAATGCACACACAAACAAACACACATACTCTGAGCTAATTAATTGCGCGCAAAGTTCACACTATCTCTACCTAATCACAGAAACACACTGATATCGTGTTGTCCTTTGAAGACCCCTGTGGCCTCTTATATAACACAAACAGTGACCCCTGGCAGTTTATCCCACCCTACCAATTACGTTTGTGAAGTCGATTATGACATTCCTGATATCATGCGCCGCGATAAACAAAAGTTTAAAATGTCACAGTACATTGAAAATCCCCCTCGAAAAACAATATATCTGTTCATTTGTCTGTTCAATAGCGTAAAAATAAGACATAGGCTTTTATTTCAAGAGGAACATATACCATTTTCTCTCTTATGCCAGTTATGTTTTATAAATGCTTTGGCTAAAAACAGGGACTTCCAAATTGGCCGGGGAGAACACTAGCAGAGGCTTTTTGTGGTACTGGAAAGTGGATTTAGTAAAAGTAGACATTATGCTTGCTATTACAGTAAAAGTGATCTATGAGAGATGTGTATTTACTTGTGTCTCTCACTGTATCTCTTTGTGTTTCTCTCTCGTGACCAATTTCTGTGCAGGATCTTTAGAGGAGTTCTGGGATTACGAGCACCAGGTGGATCTGGAGGCTTTCAGCAGCAACACCTTCTACAGCCTCCTGCTCAAACAGAGTCTGTCTGTCACCACACGGCTGGGACAGCTCACATCGGAGGCCTGTAGCTCTTAATTTAAATGCAAAATAAACATACAGCATGTGAATGTTTTGACCTTCTGATACTCTCTCTTTCTGTTACGCACACTCTGATGTTTCCTTTTCCTGTGACAGCAGAAAGTTTCCCCCTTTTTGACTGTTTCACATACAAAATGATTCATATCCCACTCCTCCTCACATTATTGTTTTATAAAAATATATTTCTACCTCTGGAGGAAAGCAAACGGTTTTGGTATCAGACAGACAAACCACATTTCGCCATGATGACATACAGACTGATGAGGTGAAAACCATAAGGGGGTTGCTGTCTCGGCTGGTAAATATGATAGCCGGTATAAATCCTCTCATCAATCCATCAAATATTGCAGCTTCAGTTAAGTTACATATTTTTCTATGCCTCGCTTTTCCACTGCCATTGTCCCATCGTCAATCATGAAATTAAACTGAACTGAAGCCGTATCAGAAGGAGCCTTTTTTTTGTTTCACCTGTCCTTGTGTTCTTCCTGTTTTTACCACCAAACTGCTGGCTGAAGTTTAGAAGACGGAGGTTGTTGTTACAGCCCTCAGGACAGCTCAAGTGATGAAGGTGTAAGGGGGGATGGCACACATGACACCCTGTGTTATCCCATAAATGTGAACGTCTTACCAATGTTAGATGTGTGCTAACTGCATTAGGGTGCGGTCAAATGTGTGATCTGATACTATAATTTTATGAAGGCCCTTTTTGTGTGCCAGTCATTTTGGTTTCATGTATGTATCTTTGTGTGTGAAGGTGAAGGAGCTATATCAGGGAGTGCTTGGGAAACTGCAGGTACTCCACCCACGCTCGATCACCGAGGAGAGGATCGGGGAGGGCTATGAGAGGATGAGGAGGGAGGTGGAGAGGGAGGTGTTGCGGAGGAAGACTCTTGCCTCACAGCTGAGGACTCTGCTCCACAGTCAGCTGCAGGTGCATAATGCAACATTCCCACCCCTGCATATTTCCTTTTCCTATTATAAAAGTGAAGAACATTTAAATACTTTTATTTTAATTTACAAGAACAGTGAAAGATAAAAGAGAAATATGAGGTGTATTTATGTGTTCTAGATATATATAAAAAAGTACTTCATATATTTTGCGCTCCAATGGTATTGTAATTTATTTTCAATAATCTGCAAATTATTTTTGGTATTAAATGCTTATCTGTGCAGATTTGTACAGAATGTACAATGTGGAAAAAAGGCCGGGGTTGATGCCACCAATTTGCTTGTTTTGTTAAAGAAATGGCCCAAAACCCATTTAATTTAGTTTTTACTTTAAGAAAGCAGCAATAGCTCATAGATTAGCAGCTGGAACTAGGAAATGTTTAGCTCTTTCGCTTGAAAAATGACTCCTGATAAATGTATACATTAACAATTGTCTCAGCTGTGGTTCTCTCTATTAACTGTAATATGTTTTAGTATGGGTGATTATTTATTTTATTTTTCGTTTCTCCAGGTTCTGGGGCGAGAGCAGCAGGCCCAGCAGAGGGTCTACAGTGTGCTCACAGCTCAGCTCAGAGAGGGCACCAGAATACTGTCCAAGGTTTATAGCAACAACCACCAGCTAAAGTAAATCTTCTACTCAACCTTTGCAAATTGTCAGAAAAAACATTCAGAATGGAGTAAATCCTCATATCCCTTCAATCTGTCCTTTCTTGTCTTCAGTTTGTTTCAGAGGCTGACCTCCCTGGTGGAGGAGATGGGAGAGCTGGTGTCAGCAGAGTGCCAGCGTCAGGGGGCCTGGGGGTTTCTGGGTGAGGGTACAGGGGCCAAGCTGCTCTGCCCTGACACTGGAACTGTGCTGACCAAGGACCACGTCTTGGGTGAGTCCAACACCCCTGGGTTTGATCACTAAAATATTAAAAAGAAAACATATGTTCTTGAAAATTGGAAAGAGAGCACCATCTGTTGGTAGAAATGTGCACTGCAACAACAAGATTCCCTTATATTAAAATTAGGTTTATATTCTGAAAACATATAAATACACCCACACTTTAACAGCATTCATTCTCACCAACACAGGTCCGTACATTATGTCTTGTATTTTCAAGTTTTCTGTCATTCTAGGTACACTGATGCATTTTCTTCTCAAACAATAATTCATAAAAATGAAATATGTGTTTTTTAAAACTTACTGTAGCTATCAATGGGAGGACATGATCAAGACACATGCTTTTCTACTTGATTCAAGATTTTAGACTAGAGTGATCCATTTAAGAGAAAAGGCAGCATGAAAATCTGTCACCCAGCATGGGTCTGCTCTGATTCAGAACAGCTTAAATCATGTCATAATTATTTACAGTTTGAGGATTGCCCTAAGCTATTTCTCCTTCTGCTTCACTCCAGGTCCTGATGGGTCTCTGCGTGTCTGTCGAGCGGTTCATTGTGATTCAGTCACAGGCCTCATAAGGCCAAATGCTCACAGCCATATGCTGCTGAGCGGCGGCCACACCATGGCGGTGCCACCAGATTTCTTCCTCCACCCACAGACAGGCAGGGTTATGCCCATAGCTGGCAATGTGGCCTATGATCCTGCAAGCTCAACTTTAGTCTTCACAACTGACTCATGTTCAGGTAACATGAGGGGCGCTTGTGGGGTTTGGGGGGTGAGATTTTGAGATTTATTTTTGCACAAGACATTTGAGCTGCAGAAACACAACAACCAAACAGAAGAAACAAGTTGTGAAGGTTAGATAATATCATATAGAGTTATAATACAAATCTTACCTTCATAAGAATTCAAAGAAAAAAAAAAACACATTTAATGCCTAAAATTAAATCAGGACAATGAAAAAGCATTTCATCATGAAAGCAAATTACAAGTGATGCCCTTGTACTTTAAACTGTGGATAACTAGTAATCCACAGGGTGTGACATTACATACAGTAGAGGTGTTTTTAATGCAGCTCAGCCACCTTTTTCTTCAAATAGCTTATAGTAGGCCTAGGTAAGGCTTTGCTGTCAGCCCCGCTAAAAGCCAGGCACCACTGAAATTGTGGCTTCAGCTTAGAAAGCAAATATATTTATTTTATTACATTTTCTGCACAAAGTATAACTTTTATTAGTTTTTTATTCATGAAATAAAAAAAGAGTTTTCAAGGGTGTACATATTTTTAACCTGTTGCTTTTCTTACTCTCAGAAGATAACAGGAAGTGGGATAGTCCCCTCCTTCCTTTCATCCCTTACCCGACCTCCTGCCACTCAGACCGGCCTCTGCCCAGCGCTCGGCTCAGAGGCCTCCGGCCGGGCCAGAGACTGCAGCTGGGATGTCCCATGGCAGACCCAGACACAGGGGTCCCAGTGCCCATTCTGGCTGTAACCATCCACCCCCAGACAGGACTAGTCTACCCACTGGGAGGGTTGCATGTCTGTCCCCTCACCCGCCTGCCGCAGCCCATACAGATGGGCTGTCCCATGCTGGACTCCAGGACGGGGGATGTGGTGCTCACTGTCGGGGTCAGTCTAGATCCAGTTACAGGTTAGTTCTGCTGGTGAGTCTGCAGCACAGTGTCAGGGTTCCCTTCTTTGAGTTAACATTGTTCTGTGTGTATGTGTAGGAGCCGTGCTGCCAGTAGGTGGTATTCTGCTGGCCGAGCCCTTCATCGAACCTCTGAGTGGGCGGATGGTGAGAGTGGGAGGGGCCAACATACGGGCTGGGCAACTGCTGCCTAACGGAGGAGGGTACCAGGCCCTTCTAGACAGCAAGGTGCGGGATAAGTTTGAAGGCCTTGGATTTAGGCAAAACAAATTGTTTAAATATATATTTTTGAGGACTTAAAGGTCCTCCTTCCCTCTATGTTGGCTTCAGAGTTTAGTTTTAGTTTTACTCTAACTGGAAAATAGCAGCTTACAAATAAATCAAACCACAAGGTTAATACTTTGAAAAAGATACATGATACATAACAGAAAGTTATATAGATAGATTTTTGACCCGAAAAATGTTTCTCAATTAGGTTCTGGCAGTGATTTTCAAAGTATTGGAGATCCTGAAACCACTGACTGAGGAGTGGGGTTCAGACCAGACTTTGCAGCGGGTTCAGAGCAGCGAGAGAGGGAGCGGTCCACACCAACATCTTCTCGCTGCAGCCAGTGAGCTTCAGCAGGCCTGGGGGAGGAGCCTGTACTCCCAGCTGCAGCTGCAGACCAGACTGTGTTTCATGCTGGATTGGACCGCAGGTCTCCAGCAGGATGGAGGGAGTCTTGGTGAGGAAAGTTCCCCTGAGGGCAATTCTTTGCAAAGTCCAGTTTAATTCTTGTGGTTTCTAAGTCATCTCCTGCTTCTCTTTTTGTTGCTAAGAATTAAGTGGTCACTTTAAGCATCTGTTCTCCTAATTTCCTAAAATATTTGCAAGTATTTAAGAGCATAACATAAAGTAGAAAACACTTATTTTTCCTTTTAGCTATTATTTTCCTTTTGACTTGTCATCACTGCCATACTTGCTGATTAGGAAAGAAAACATGGTGCTGTGTATTTGCTTACATGTTATCTGTTCCTTCTTCACAACTTTATTTTGATACTTTAATAGTAATTCATCCATTGAAGGCTGGTGCTGCTTTTGAAAGTGAGAGTGGACAATATTTCAGATGTACCTAACTTTTAAACATAAACGTTTTGCCCCTCTGAATGCCACAATGCTGTCCTTATTTGCTGCCTGCACAAAAATAGTTTAAGGCATAACATTTCTTATTAGTTTTTTAGCCCTTGAAAGGTTTCATGAGGAGGATGACATTTTCCGACCTTAAACACTTTTTACTTAACCTTTATTTGTCACAAGCAACCACCCACACCAGGAACTGAAAATGTGACCAGCTTGTCCAGCATAAACACATTATTATATTATATAATTACAAATATCCATATTCTCCCAAGGGGAATACAGAACTATTACCATCAATATTTCCAACATGGATGCATGAGATCATATCATACTGATATTCTGTACAAACTGTGAAGTCCACTGAGACAAATGTAACATTTGTGATATTGGGCTATATAAATAAACATTGATTGATTGATAAAGATAAAGACATGAAAACATTTAACTTGAAGTTGTACTGTAGTCATCAAACTGCAATAACAAGCAGTACACAGCACCGTACCAACAATGCACTTTAAGAGATCTGCTTAATCAAAAAGATGAAACATAGAACTCACAGTATTTATGTTCTGTAATGTGAAAGCAAATTGCACCGTGGCATGTTTATATATTTTTTAAGCTCTTGACACATCAATTATCAAATGACGTCAGCAGTGACATATTATTGCTCTCCTCGAGGCCGTTTCCAATCTGCCTTTCATGACAGGTTTATTCATGTTCTCTGCATAATGTTAGCCATAGTGGTTGTGTGAGTGTGCTCTTCTTGATAAATTGCTTTTAGGTTTTGCCTTTTTTTGTTTTTGATATGCTTTGCCAGACTTTTCATGCAGCCACGACCCTGTTTCATGTATGTCGCTCTTTCTGTATTTACTTTAGTTTAGAGTTTGTTTGATCTAAACCACATAAACCCTAAAATAGCACTGAAGTAATGTACTGTATAATTGTCTGTCTTTTGTATTGGAGAGAAAAGCCTACTTCTGAATCTCTATAATGCCAGTAATGCGCTGCCAATTCAAATTTGTTGAAATACTTTCAGATTTCTTTTTTTCGAGCCATACACTATTTTGTTTCCTCTATACTAACCCTTTGATTTCTCCTGTGCTGTTCCAACCAGGAGAGATGCCTCTTTTCGGTTCAGACATGTCTGTACCAGCTCTGTTGGGGATGGAGTACCCTGACCCTATGGGATCTGGTCTTAGTGTGCCTGTGCTGGGGTGTCAGACTGACCTTGTCTCTGGGAATATAACAGCGTTGGCAGGAACCATGGAGGACCCAGATGGAAAAGGTACTTTGAAAAACAAACAAATGCCCAGGTCACCAGACACAGTTTATTTAATCCACTTATTTTAAACAGTACCGAAATAAACATGTATGCTTTTCTGTTACTATGCTGTTGCACTTCACAGGACTAGTGGCCATCCGTTATGGATCTCAGACTGTTGACCCAGTGACAGGCGTGTTGGCCCCCGTGGTTGGTGTCAGACTGGACGTGTCCAGAAAAAACGTTGTACCTGTCACAGCTTCCTATTGGCTAACTGTGGCAGATCAAACTGACAGTGTGCAGGTTGAGCAATACACACAAACATGATTAAACACAAGAAACCTTCAATTGGACTATAGTAAAAGTTCAATCATCTCTACTTAGTTTTTTTTTTACAGCCTGGTTAATTCATCAGGAGAGACTGTGTGAATTTGATAAAAGCTACTCAAGTCTTTCATGTGTTAAATCTCTAGCATTTCATTTTGCAGCCCATTGAATTCAGTTTGAACTAAGGAAATCTGATGTACTCTCTTTGTTGCTGCTATTTATTATTTTATTTGCCAGGTGGAGGCGCTGCAGAGAGAGGTGTGTGTGCGAAACACTTACTGGCAGCAGCAAAGGCAGCGAGAGGAAGATATTTTCTCTGATCTGGACTCGACTCTATTCCAGTGTCTCTTTAGAGCCATAGAAGAAGACTCTTATCAGGTCAGCAGGGGGAGATTGCTGATTTGGTTGTAAATATCTTATATAGCCTGGCCTCTGAATAAAGGAGAAACAAATTCAAAGGGGTTCCTTTTTGAGCATTTGGGAATGAGGGGGAGTGTCAGGGTTGAGCGCAGCAGGCAGGACCCAAATGCAGATTTAACAGCACATACCTTTATTTCAAGGCTTCAAGTAACAAATAGAGCAGAGGCCTGTACTACGAAGCCGGTTCAACATAACCTGGATATGTTTGAGTTAGCCGGTTGGCCTAATCCAAAACATACGTGCTCTCGCTAAGCGGTCCTACGACGCTGGTTATCAAGTGGATCGCTCAAGCCAGCCGTGTCCTATCTAGTTAGGTGCGCGTTCACATGAAAGGGTTGGCATTTGGAGCATTCGACCAATCACAAACATGGACAAGCGTACTGACAGCGCAGCGTCATACTTCCTGAATGAAAAGTGAACTTTAATATTAGTCAAATATGAAGAAGTTAAACTTTAAACATCCATGACTTAAACACTTTACCCAGGATAAAAGCCACATAGCTGCACCTGCAAGGTGAATACAGCTGGTAAAAGAAAAAGTGTTTGAATGCGTACATTAACAGGTTTATGATATCACTGCCCCGTTAAGACACGAGTGGATCTGACTTTAATTAGGAGAATTTGACTCGAGTGTTTCGTCAACTTAATGTGTTGCTTAAAATAATACTTCTGCATACAGTATGTGACAATGTGAGTGTTGCACGGCCAGATACGGCTCAAGAAGCTGACTCAGATAAGGAAATATATGATACATTATGATGTGATATGATATGAATGATAATGGGACACATCGATGTCTGCACTCACAGTGCCGCGGACTGTACGTAATGTTACTCTGATCCGGTTACTTATGTTGTGGCAGATATTTAAGTAAGCTTTCTTAACGCTAATGTTATAATAGTCAGATTGCTCTGAAGATAGGAGGTGATATTCTATTAATTGTCACGTTCACACAGTCAGTTGATTTTTGCCGGCCGTCTTTCCTGCAATGGAAGTTTTTCTGTATTTCCTCTATCCTGTAATATGACTTGATAGCTTTAAACTCTGCACACGGAGCTCTGATTGGTCAGCAGGCGGTGCTTTCACTGAGTTGGTAGCACAGCCGAGCCGAGCATCTTGCTTCAGAAGCAAGGCAAGAATACTTCCTGCTATTCGGAAAACGAAGAGTGGAACAGGCTAGCAAGTGTGCAGGTGTGCGTCATATGAGAGGCCCCGCCTTACATCTTCCGCCACAGATTTGGGGAAATTGGTCCATGCGCAAAGCATTGTGGGGATTTTAAGGACGCGAAGTCTACCCATGTGCAGCCTCGAAATTTCCCCCAAACCTAGGACGCGGCCTCGGTGGAATTCCAAGTATGCTGGAGATTGGAACAGTCCTTCGGCGGCACTCGATGACGTAGCATCCTTGAAATATTGGCTTGGAAGCCAATATCCTCGCGATTGAGAAACGACCAGGGAGTGTTTGAATGCCGGGGGAAAACATCATTAGAAAGGAATGCTAGAAAGACAAAACCTCTGACTACAAAAAGTGTCTTATATATATATATATATATATGTCAATAACACTCTACGATAGACCTGTACTGTATTAATCCATCAACAATTTCAAAGTTTATAAAAGCCATGAATGCTAGACAACACAAGGTCTTTCATAGACTGCACCATGCGTCTGCAGAAGAAAAATGGTTTGAAGACAGAATACCGAAGTGGCACCGAAAATGTCGAAATTGGTACTTAAATAAGAAGAGCTACCAATATGTTGAGAAGAAACGTCTTGCTGATGTGAGTGCAAGAGCAGAACATTTGGCTGGTCCAGGATGTAGCTCCTCACAACATACAGTCAGGTTCACCAGGCGAAATACTAAAACATTTGAAGCCAAAAAGAGATGTGTCATCTGCAATAAGCAATGGCTGCGGGGAAAGGAACCAACCTCTAAGGCAGGGGTGTCAAACTCAAGGCCCGGGGGCCAAATCCGGCCCGTGACTTGATTTTCTGTGGCCCCACAAGAGGTTGCAAAGAATATTATATGTTTATTATACGGTTACATGATGATTTACAGAAGCACGTTGCCCATAAACTGGTAATAAACTGGATGTCCCACAATGCATCTCAAATTAGACTTGTTTCTCAGAATTTGATCAGTGTTTCCCACAGAATTTGATTCTGTTTGTGGGGGAACTGCACCACATGTCACTTCTTTTTTTAAAATGTCACTTCCTTTTTTTTTTAAATGTCGCTTTTCTTTTTAAATCATTTTGTGACATTCTCACAGCTATTCATGTCTATGTATGCACTGCAAGGAAGCACATGTGTGGTTAGGACATACTGTGCAAAAGTAGAGTTAAAGCAATGTGCTGTCACTGCATCTCTGTGTATGCCTTCCATCCCTTTGGTCCTTAAATTGAGTGTGTGTCTTTTTGTGTGCCATTATTCAAATCTGTACCTTCTCTTTTTTACATTCAAAGTATACAGTAAGTGTGTTCTCTGCTGCAGGTTCAGTGGTCAGGGAGGCAGCTCAACGAAGCAGCCGTGGAACTGCAGGAATCGGCGCAGAACGAGGCGCAAAGGAGAGTGGCTCAGCACACCCAGTTGGCTCTGATCTTGCCTCCGCATGTATTAGACATCCTCACACTGGGTAAATTGGCTGGCAAGCTGAACGAGTGAAGAGCATGAAGGGAAATCACACTCATGACCTCCTCTGCGGTTATATTCATTGCTTGCCAAAAGAGAAATGCTTCATGCCAGTGTCTCATATCGCACCCTTCAGTTGTTTAGTAATTTACATAATTTCACTTTTCAATGTTTTATTTGGGTTGGCAGCATATCTTTGTGTATCTGTCTGTGTGCATAGGTGATGAGCAGGAGTGGGATCGGCAGTGCGTTTGGCACTCGGAGCTTGTGTCAGGCCTTGATAAGCTTGATGTGTGTATGGAGCAGCTACAACAAGACAAAGAAAAATGGACAACCCATGGAGGAGACTGGAATACACCCGTCCACGTTATGGTCCGATTAATGGCTCTCTGGTCAATTTTACGCCCTGCAGCTCAATTGTTTGAGACACAGTTGGGTCAGATGTTGACATCCCTCTCATCACATCAGTGCCAAATGCATATTACTAATTATGATATAAGGAGCTTTCAAAAGTTTAGTTATTAAACTTTGATGTCAGCCCGGTGCTATGGGATGCTCTCTGTAACATTGTCGTCTAAATGTAAATAAGACTTCATGGTTATTCTCGCTCAAGCCAGTGTTTATTCTTCCTCCAGGACAGAGAGCTGAGGCAGACAGAGTTGTGGGAGCAGTGTTGTTCCAGACAGACAGAGTTGGAGGTTGCTCTTAATGCTCTGCACTTTGTCAGGCACCTTTCTCAGCTCCGTGCCGACACTGCGCAGGTCAAAACACACTCAGTCACATCACATTAATAACACTCTATATAAATAAACTTAAGTATATGATGGAAGGAAGTTTATGGTTCATTTTGTTTGGATTTCTTCATCATGTTGCCATCAAGTTTGTTTAACAATCAAAGCTAAATGTGCCCTATTACAGAAGATGGGTATCTCTGTGTCTCCCAGTGGTATGATGAGCTTCCTCTCTCTTTCTCTCTGTCTAGGCAGTATTATGTGGGAACTTTTGCTACAAGGAATACGGTCTGGTCCAGTGTATTGGACGCACACCGACTGTGGAGGTCAGGGGTTTGCTTCAGCAGATGGCTTTGCCTCTGCTGGAGAAACTGAACCAGCTCCTGGAAGATAAACAGCCTGCCTGCTTCTCCCCCAACACCTGCAATCAGCACATATCAGGTACCTAATCTGTAGGGTACTATATATACTACATGATAAGGGTCCTAATATATGATAGAAAGCAAACAGATATGCAGTACATATTGTCCCAGAGAAAGGACAAGCCCCCATTGAATAGTGCCATTATTATATGAAATTGCTCTGCACATTTCCTGGTACAGTATTTATACTCTAAGTGAGCGTGCAAATGACTACATCTAAAGCCATTATCTACATTTTCCCACACATTCTCTTATTGCGGTCAAAGGATAATGCTGGTGTTTTCATTTTATTTTTTATCCCCTGAAAATACCAAAACCAAGCCCCATGATGTCTTCAAAAGACCAACATCTTACATTTTCCAAAAAAACTGGGCACTGTAGATTTTAACAAACAATTGAAACAGGGTCAAATGGTGCATTTGTTCAGGACTGCTTTCTGTTTTTTTTGTTTATACACATACATGTATGGTGCTTTATTTAGTGTTATCAACAGCAGAGTAGTGTATTTGTGATTTACTCTTTGCAAACAGTACCTTTATGAAATGTAAGGAATATGTTAACCAGTGTGTTTTCTATGGTTTGTCAAAACAGTATTGAGCTCGTTGGTGAAAATTAACCCTGGTAGATCAGACTTCGACTTAACAGACAGTTGTTAGAAGTATCAATTCGTAGCTGGTTTTGGTCTTTTTAAGAAAATAATAGATTTTATAAGCAGGCTTGTCAACATGACTTCTGACTTGTTTCAGGTTTTCCAACAAAGATGGCATATGGGTTGTACTTAGCGTCTAGAGTCTGGACAGCCTCTGTGCCTGTGGTGAAAGGTATGTGCTTCTCAAGCCACTTAAGCCTGTTTATTGTCAAAATGCAGCAAGAGCAGGGAGAAGGGAAACAGCCAGTGTGTAGTCAACAAATATAACCTTGTTGATAAATCAATGGCTCCAGAGTGCTGCTCTGTTTTTTTTATGTCTTTTAAAATGCCAGAAACGGGTAGGAGATAAAAGAAGAATGACAAATTAGGTGCTCATAATGATTCTGACAAGAGTTGTAAAATAAGACATGTCTTGGCAGGTATTATAACCACAGGGGTATCTTTTTCAAGGAGAAAACAGCTTACAGCTTACATTCCTGTGAAAACTAGCCTTCTAAAGTACAGTGCGTAAAAAACCCACAAACAAAGCCTCCCAGTTGCTTGAGGAGATACTTGGATTCTTTTGTATATGAATTGGCTTGATTGTCAGCTTGTTGTGGCTTGCAAGGTCTCACACAGTTTGTGTTTTTGAAGGAATCTCCACCCAGTCTTTGAGGGAGCCTCTCCATTTAGCTCAATCCCAGGATACTGTTCTGCACGCCAGCTCGACAACAGCGCACATCTCACAAAGACACACCGCATCTTCTGGCATTCACTCCCAGGGTGAGCCCAAGAACAAATGACCCAGCAGCTCACTTTCACCCTGTGTTCTATTGTGCTGTTCTCTGCTTCAGTGCTGTGTTAGCGATCTATTTACTTGGAGGGCTCTATACTAGATTCAGGTTATAGACTTCTGGGAAAGGACATACAGATATCCACACATCCATACCTGCACATTTAGGATTTAAGCACCACCTCTTTTCTCCCACATTTATTGTTTCCAGCTATGCTAACCTCTACAAAATATCGTAATAATCCGTTGATCTAAATTCATCATTTTAATTATAAGTTATTTTCCTGACAGAGAGCCAGCCAATGAAAGAGTCCAGTCAGCCTTCAAGAAGTATCACTGTCCCCACTATTCCAGGTTAGGTCATGTATAATAATACACAGTTTGAACACGTCACATGTGGTGTGTCACACTAACGTTATCCATCAACATTGCTTATATTACCCAGAAGAGGAGTGGACCAAGCTGCTGGAGCTCTCTCCTCTGTTCCAGCTGTTGAAGGGGATGGATCTTCAGCTGAAGGGCTGGGCCTGTGGGGCTGGGCTTCTTAGAGGAGAGCTCTCAGGTCTGACACACTTTGGGTTGTTTGTTTTTTATTGCAGCAAGTCACGTGGGTAGAAAAAGGTGACGGTAACACTTTGCTTCTTACTGAGGTAACATATATTTAATAGAAAAAGGCATATGTCTTCTTCCGTGTTTTGTCCAGACAGAGGCAAGAGTTTCGTAGACGTCCTGGATGCTCAGTGGGAATGTGAGGGAGAGCTGATCCCTCTGGACCTTTCAGCCCTTAACCCCAGAGAGTTCCTGGTCTACCAACACGGACTATTCCTGATAGACACATTGAATAATCTAAAACTGGTTGGTGCTGCAGTTTGACAATTATTAACCCTTTTTTCGTTATCTATTTTTAATTGCTCCTACTGTTGAATTTTTAAAGGTAAACTATTATGCAAAATCCACTTTTTCCTGTATTTCATACATAAACATGTGTCCCCTCTGTGTAAAGAGATTCTGAAAGTTTCAGGAAAAAAGATTTGCTCACTTTTTGTCCTGATCCATTTATATAAAAACCTGTCTGAAAATGAGCCAATCAGATTTTGGCCCCTTTATGATGTCATAACGGTTTTTTGGCTTGTGTAACCATTAGCCAATAACCAACCAAGGTAACACCCGCCTACCTTATCACCTGAATCTCCTCCTAGAGCACCATTGTCAGCCTTCAAGATGTATCAGTGGGTGTTTCTCAATCGCGAGTAAAGCTGCTTCAGAGCCACTATTTCAAGCATACTACGTCATCGAGTGCCGCCGAAGTACTGTTCCAATCTCCAGCATACTTGGAAATCTACCGAGCCCGGCGTACTTCGTAGCGAGAAATTTCGAGGCTGCACATGTGTAGACTCCGCGGTCTTAAAATCCCCACAATGCTTTGCGCACGGACCAATTTCCCCAAATCTGTGGCGGAAGATGTAAGGCGGGGCCTCTCATATGACGCACACCTGCACACTTGCTAGCCTGTTCCACTCTTTGTTTTCCGAATGCCAGGAAGTATTCTTGCCTCGCTTCTGAAGCAAGATGCTCGACAGACATGTGCTACCAAGCAAGCATACTCGCGATTGAGAAACACCCACTGTCTTGTCTTGCCTTGCCTTGCCTTGCCTTGCCTTACCTTGCCTGCCATTGTGTTCTTTTTGACCAAATATCTCGCAGAGGGGCTTTGGGAGTTGCACTTTATTTTCATCTAAAGCAGTGTTTCTCAAACGTTTTCATACCAAGGACCACTTAAAGGGGACCTATCATGCAAAATGCACTTTTGTACGTCTTTTATACATGAATATGTGTCCCCGGTGTTCCAGGGAACTCACCAAGTGTCAGAAAACACAACCCTCTCTATTTTCCTCCATACCCAAATCTCTAAAAAAGGGGCTGCAACGGATCTGATAAAAACTGATCCAGATTTGAACACTGTCCTGACGTCAGGACGGTGGCGCTACGACTATTGGGCCAACTCTCCACCTATCAGGGGAATGTGGGGTTGGGCCACGGCCGGCCATTGCCGCTCGAAAGCGCTGGAGACGCTGTAGTACATATGCCAGGCCTGTAAGTGGCGCTGTAGTCTGCCACAAAAGCAGCGAAGAAGACTTCCCGCCCATAGTTACCATGGTTACCCTTCTGTTTATTCTCCGCTGTGGCTTTTTTTCTCCCTCCCCGAGGCAAGCGTTTGCTCCCGCTGCAAACGCTTGCCCCGTCGAGGCAAGCACTGTAATTCTCTCCGGTTAGTCCACCAGCAGATGACAAACACCCACCTCTCCGCCTCTTCCAAGGAACGAGGGGACCGTGCGGCAGAGTTTCAGTTTCAGTTACTTTCGCCGGTCAAGATGTCCGTTAAAGTTTAAATCTTCCGGACAAAATTAGAAAAGTGCTGGTCAAAGGTCTTCTTTGTTATTTATTGAGCTTTAAAACAAATGAATAACGACTCTATATAATAAAACACGGAGGACGGAGATCTCTTTTTCTCCCCCTCTTCTGACAGCCCAGCAGCTGATCAGAGCACGGCTCCCCTCTCCTGCAGGGGGGCGTGGTCAGCAGAATCAGACCCGTAGACAGCAAACAGCACATAGAGCGAAATGAGGCATGGCTAAAATGCATGATCTGTTTGGTATTTTGAAAACAGAAACGTATAAATATACCTTATATAGGTATGGCCCTACAATATATCATTTAACCTGTTAAGCACCAAGCCTGTTTTTCATGTTTCAGGCTCGAAAATGACATGCCCAAAACAAATGACTACAACTTAACTTCTAAAAGGGTTATATGAATAATTTCTTTTATCAAAGCAAGGTTACATCTGTGAGTTGGATGTAGATGTGTCAGAATCAATATAAATGTTTTTTATTTTAAAGAAAATTCAGATTTTACATAGTAAAAAACTGTAAATTATAGTGTCCGTCCAAAAATTATTTTTTACAGATAGTGAAAACTACCCTTGGATGATGGGTTAGTAGACTAAAAGCTTAGGAATCAAAAGTACAACATATAATAAGTACCCTGTATCAAGATTGATGCAAAACAAGTGACATTTGACCTTTTTAGAGAGGTTTAGCCAAAACCACCCCACCTCTGAGGTGATTTGGGTGAAAATGTTTTTTTTTCCATATCTCTGGCCCCCCTTGCTCGATTTTGATGGTTGACACCTCTTTCTGACCGTTAGAGCCAATAGAATCGAAGGGGGAGGCTCACACACACACACATTGTGAAGAGAAACAGTGGGGGCTGCGCGCATGTAAATGTAAAGCAGAGTGGAGCTACATTCTAGCTCTGACATTTGGAAACGAAAAAGCAGTTTTATTGCTTATGGATTATCAGAAATAATTTCAAAGAGGGCACAGATACATTGGATGAACCTATGGATTAACTGCAGCATCGTTTTTTTATCGTTTTAATGCCATTGAAGACCAGTTTTGACCAAGGTAAGCCATGTTAGCGTTTCTAGCATGTTATGATGTACGCTTTCGTTTATAGCGTCGCAAATGTTTATCACTGAGTGTTGAGGTGGGCACCACTAGATTCAGTGTCTCCAGGACACCAAAAACGAGTGGTTGGCTGTGCATCTAGGATAAGTAATAAGGGAGTTATTGTGAGTTTAAGTGCCGTTTTAGGTTACATTTTTTCGCTCGTGGCTAATTCAGAGGCTGAGTGCTAGCATTGTGGGTTTTTTTTGGAAAGAAAAATTAAAAAGATCAGTTAGCTGAGTTTCTTCCCGTTACATGGATATAAAACATTCATAGTTTTATTAAATATTAAGATTCCTTAGACGTTGTTTCCTGCAACTGACGCACCGGTACCGGGCGGATGGTGCGTAACAGGTTAAATATAGCATGATAGGTCCACTTTAACCAATACAAAAACACTCGTGGACCACCTAACTCCACAAATATCCAAAAACACATCGTTTTTCTAGAACAGATTACAAATCGCCTGAAAATGGTACAAACAAGTGGCAAAATGTGTGATGAAGGTGAAAACTTAAGCTCGCTCCATTGCGGAGATATTCCCGCGAGAGTGCGGAAAACTTAAATGTATTTATTTATTTCAAATGTGAAATTTTACCAATATACTCACGGACCACTAGGCGGCGCTCACGGACCACCAGTGGTCCGCGGACCACGCTTTGAGAAGCACTGATCTAAAGTAAAAGACAGAGAATCAGCACTTTTGAAACAGGGCTGAAACAGAGGGGTTAATGGGATGCTACAATTATCTTTTTGGTATTCTGAGCCAAACACTTCAGAGACATGTTTTGTATACATCTGAGACCTATACTATATTGAAGAAAAACAGTATAATAGGGGACCTTTAAGGCTTTGAGTTGCCTGGCCCTAAACTATTTTTAACCTTTAAATATCTCATGCGCCTCTGTGACACCTTAAGTACAAAGGCAGGAAAGCCTCTAACTATCTCTCTGTCCCAGATAAAGACCAAATGTGACTTGGCTTTTGGTGTCAGAGCTCTGTTGCTGCCCTCAGGCTGATTTTGTTCCATAAATCTCATTTTACAACACTTTTTTAATTCACTTTTATTCTTTCTGTGATCTTTTTTAATATTGTTACCTATTACACACATTTTTTTCATTTATTGTAAATGTGTTTTCAGGTTTACTGTGAGCTTAGTTTAAGCTAGTAGGCTGTTTTAAAACGTGCTTAGATTGTTGTTCTCTTTTCCAACAGGCTCCAGTCATTTCACTTCAGATAGCAGCTAGTCTTCCAAACAACAACTACTTCAGCAACGCCTTCAGAAATTCCTTCTTTTACCAGGCAAGGTTTCAGTATGTGTTTTTCAGTACAATTCTCAATAGTGTGTATTGCATAACAAGAAACAACTTGACCACTGATGATTGAAATGGATGTGAAAATAAATAAAAATTGAGATTGAGATTGAGGAAAGACTAGTAAGGACCCATTTTGAGCTATTAAGATTCAAAACATTTCATACCCTTTTTTTTAAAGATATATTTCACAATAAACCATAAGAAGTATTGTAAGCATGTGGCCAACAGATGTTTCACAGGGCTTGTCGAATAATCTGTCCAAGTATGAAGCAACTCTGTTAATGTTGTGAAATAGTTTGCTCCTTTGAGATGTACGGAGATGTTTTTGTGAACCTCTACATCCAATATACAACATATGAGTGATATTCTCCGGGCTTTAGGGGAAAAAAAGGAATTGGTATGCAGATGCTTGGATATGCCTGTGTGGATTATGACCTGTAATACTGATTTTAGTGGGTAATGAATAATGTAGATGCATAAAAAAAGACAAATAAGTACACATGGTGACAGCAATTTAAGAAAAAAAGTGACCTAAATAGCATATTAAAGTATGGCGACCTAAAGTAGTTTAAAGTAATGCAGATCATCTTTCATGGAGGAAATAAGGTAATAGTAAAAGGTGTTTATACAAGAGACAGTAAGCAAAAGTGGAACAACCACAGTCCCTCTGCACTCTGACTAAACTTTTATCCACCAGAATGTTAGGGCAAAACATCTCAGACAGCAACAGAACCCTATTTTGTCTATCTGCTACATATTTTGTAACCCAAGGGGCGATAAAATGTAACATCTCAACAGTAAAGGCTTTATATAACATCCTACTTAGCCCGGCTGATCTCTGGATACAAAAAGACTCCGACTGCCCACACCCTACTCCGCTCACAGGGAAGAGAGGTCAGAATAAGAGGCCGCTCAAAATAGGAAATAATCAGCAATTCGTCAACCCCCAGATTTCCTGCAGGATCTCAAGGTTATAAAGTTTGTTCCTTGGGCGTTTTTGCTTGTTTCACATTCTTTCAGATAGTTGTATACTCCCTAATTGAAAGGGGAAACCAGCTGTAGCCATTTCATGCGATGGCCTTGTACACATATGCTGGTATTAAGAGTTTGCAATAATAAAAATTGTCCCTTTTTCACATCCACTTTTTCACATTTAGAATGTGCATTGATTACACAAATTAAGTGATATCCTTGTTAGGTGCACACAAGGATTCTAGTAGAAGTTAAATACGTTTGTATTGCCAGGCACTTTTTACCCTCTTAGCTACCATTTGCTGCATTTCCTTATTTATATATTGAGGTCAATCATAAAACTTAATGTCATTTCTTTTCAAATAGCAGCCAAGAAGTGTTGTATTGAACATGGAATGCCATGCTTGCTTCTTTTTTTTTTAATCAGTGAAAGATGTCTTTGTAGAGCTGTAATGTGTTACCGTGAAAGGCTGCTCTGTTGACAGGAAGCCGAGCAGACGCTGTTTATCCGCCGCCAGAGGCTACAGTCGGTCGGTGGATTCTCTCTGCTGCTGCTCCACTGTCTGTCCCACATCAAGATTAAAGACATGAGCTCTGACTCTAATCCTGCCTTCCAGAGACTTTTCTTCAAGGTACAGAGAAACACTCTGTGTGACTCAATAATTAAGGGTTTTGGAAACTGTTGTAGTTTGAAAATACATTTTGATTCCAAGTGTAGCTTGAATTGAGCTGAACTTTGATATTCCACCTGTTTCAGGGAGTGGGTTAACGTTTTCTTCTCTTTTTGGCTATCTTAGATACTGCAGGCATGTCTGGGGGAGTTGTTTCAGGCCATACTGGGCTTGCCTTCCACTGGACAGGAAGCCAATTTGAGTTTGTTTATTCAGGACCAAGAGGCCCCTTCAGGAGTCTTAAAGTGGACACTTTCAGATGTTCATGCTGCCTCCTTGCTTTACAGGTCTCACAAACCAAGCAGAGGATTGCTTTCTGAAAATGTAAGAACAAAATATGACCTCCCTCTATGATTGTTTTCCACTGAGCGTTGAGAATGTATCTTTAAGATTTCTCAGAGTGATTGCTCTTTCATGTATTGTCTGTCAGTTCACTAGTTGCAGTATACAATTTTTCTGTGTCGGAGACTAACAAGGGCTGACTTGTGTGTCTCTTGTGTGTCTGTTTGTGATTATGGCATCAGGAAGTGGAGGATATTCAGAGGAAACACAGATAAGCGTCACTGCTCTCCCATCTTGAAGGACTTTTAAGGGACAAGAGCTCTGAAGTGTAAGGGAAATTCTTGAAGACAAAGACATCTCACAAAACATCTATTCTTTATTTTAAGCACTTCAGAGATGAAGAAAATGCAGTTTTTACACACAGAGAAGAAGACCTAAGGATTGGCAGATGTTTTACAGTCAAACATTTATCTCCAAGAAGACAGAATAAACATCCTTGCATTACAAGAACTTCCTTCCTTCCACGGAGAAAAAAGCATGCCACTGTGTGCTCAATGTTTTAAGAACTCTTTTTGCAAGCATTTTCCTTGATTACAAATATTGTTTAAACACATATATGTTACACATCATGAAGTCACTTTACCAAAATGTATGACCCGACATACTTATTGATCATTGCGACAAGTCACAAGGCACAGTTTACTCTATAAAGTGTTACAATCAGAATGCAAAGTAATATTTGTCCCACAAAGGCCACAGAGAAAAAAGAAATTGGTTAAACATAACTCAGGACGTGTATGCTTCCATACAATTGTGGAATGTTAATATGAAAGTTTAAAAATACACCAGTTATAGAAATAAACTTTACTATGTACTATTATTTTCAATCATATATAAAAACTCTGTTTCTTTTTTAAAGGTTTTCAGATTTCACTGATTAACCAAAACTTTAATTCTAACCTGACCCTTAAATTGATACTAAACTAAATTGACAACAAAAGTGTTCTCCTTGATGTTTTATTTTTATTTTATTCGTGGCATTTCTGTATGGGCTCTTGATCAGAAGATATAAAAATACAAACACATGTAGAATCTGTCTTTTTACACATACGCACACACACGCACACGCACACGCACACACACACACTCTCACATCTGTTTTTACTTAGGGGGTTCCGTGTGTGGGGGATGGGAAGGTTAAAGTAACAAAGGCATTGCTGAAATTCCAACTCATGTGCTGGAAAAACAGTCCTCATCAATGTTGTCTTCACATCGTGGCTTTGACCGCGATGATTATGATGATCATAATTATTCCAAGGACAAGTCCGATGACATTTAGGGTCTTGGCTGTCTTTGATGCACTTGCAGCTTCAGTTGATTCTCCAACAGCATTGGCATTTTGTGCCTTTGAAAAGCAAGTGTCAGAAGTCATTTGTCAGAAAAAAGTAGTTTGACTGAAGTTTAAATAATCATAGCATTTAAAACAAACCTGCCAACAATAGAAAACACTGGAAAATTAATTAACTCATGTGCAACTAAAAAAAAGTAAGATTGATGCCTCTTATATTCTTGTCGATTCAAGATTATAAACCATTAAAATGTAATTTCAAGCTTGCTATTTACAAACTATACAATGCACACAAATAATGAGTAACTTTTTAGTTAAGGAAATGTCTTACAATGCAAGAGTAAAAAAGAAGCAGATGTAACCATTTTAAACAAGTTTGGTGCTCGAGAAACGTTACTCACCTTACAGGAGCAGACAATGGCAGCAATTCCTAGAGGCAGACAGCAGCATAGGGTGTTAAAAATGGACCATCCCAGGTAAGTTGGAACCGCAGCACGGGTCTGGCCTGATTCCATGGTGTCTCTTTGTTGCTCTTTGAGTAAATGAGAGTTATATGTTGGTTGGCTGATGCCTGGATCCAAATGCTGGTGGGGGATGTGACCCAGACCGTTTTACTCTCCTTGGGTGTGGTTTAAAGAGTTGTTTGTGTGGAGCCAGAGGAGGGAAAAAAGGAAGAATCTGACATTCAACGGAAATGGGTGTTTTTGTGGCGTGACAGAGGCTTTAGTCATTAGATGCTTGGAAGTTAGCTGCACGACATCTCTAAAAGTATTTTTTTAGAACTTTGATTTGACTTGCTTTTACATTCAGCTTAACACACGGTAGATGAGCTAATTTTGTATAACTGTGAACAAAAGTTAAGTTATGACAGTTATGTTTTTTATTTTCATGCAGCTGCAAGTAATTCCACATGAGACCCAACACGTTCAGACAAGACAATGACTTATTTCATATAACACTTTGGTCATTGCAAACTAAGAAATGTGTATTTTGAACAAAGCTTGGCAAAACACATATATTTTTCCATCCAAGTTTGGATCATGCCAAGTCCAATAATATAATTTCCACAAAAATGAATTCCTTCATTCTTCTGCAAAGTTCAACGACCAAATAATTATACTTTCTCAATTTTGCAGTTTTGAGATCTAACTTTTTCACTCTGAATTCAATCTCTTGATAAGCATTAGTGTTTTCTGTTGTTTTTGGAATAAAATCTGAACAAACTCATAGCTAATTTCACAACAGCAACATACCATAATCAGTGCCAATTCAGTTAATTCATTTCTCTGCTAGAGAGCATTTTATTCTACTGGCAAACAATAGAGATTCTATTATTCTGAACAGCAATTTAGGATATTTGGATGAATCAGCTGTTAATGTTTGGGTGTATAAGAATAGGTACCATGCTCGAGTACACTGCAGCAGCTTCCCCTAAAGGCCCGGACACACCAGTCCGATTTTGGGAGTCAGAGGCCGTCAGAGGCGCCCTACTCAGGTTTGTGTGTCCCGCACCGTCGTCTCTTTACGGCACCTTTTCACACCTTCCGACGCCTCTCGCGGCCGATTGCGTCGGGAAAGTCGGGACAAGCAATCACTCTGATTGAGGTACGCTCCTGGAAGAATTAACTGGCAAGGGTCAACTTAATGACGAAATCGCGGTCCATTCAAAAGTCTACGAAAACAGACTGCGGCGGTTGACATGTGATATGCTGCCAATCTTCCTGCATGAGGTGGAAAATAGCTATTTTAAGTGTTTAATGGAACAGACCCATGAAGATGAAACCTTTAGACAGTTCGCGCACTTGTAAATATGTGGCTAATTATTTGTACATTTGTTTTTACAGACAGTTGTGGCAAACTTTTTTTTTTATTGTATTGTACACTAATTACTATTTTTATCGTTTTGTATTGGCTGTACACTGTACATAATAAATAAACCACTTTTTACCGCTACTGCAAAATGCAAAACTTTATTTCGTACCTTGATACTACAGCCATTGATAACACAGCATTAGACATATTTGGCAAATTCTTTTTTTTATTGTATTACACACTATTTTTATCGTATTGTAGTCGATTGTTGACATTGTACAGTTCTTTAGACATATTTGCTATATCTTATCCCACTGAAAAGGCACTGCACCGACACCGTTAAAATATTGGCATAGTTCATCCCTGTGCTGCTTGGCTCGAGCTGGATTATTGGTGGTGTGTGGCAGGGTGGCCTGCCGTAGTTCAGGGTCTTGTCTCCATCTTCCTGGGACAGTGCCATGTACGTACGATACATGTTTTCGATCGACGAGAGAGAGTGAAAATGGAATCCAGACGCTGTAGTAGAGGAACAAACCCCCAAAAAAGGCTTTAGTTATCGAGATACCCCTACCCGAGGTAGAACAAAGCACAACCATGTTTTTTCATTACTTTATATCTGTAATATATTAAACGGATTGTTGTATACAAATATTTTACTGCAAAATAAAAAAATTTGGTTGATGTATGGAACCTTCCCATAACCGAAAATAGTGAAAATGTAGGCTCCTCTGAAGAAGGCCATGTCAACCTTATCACGTGTATATCTGGAAATAAGGATCAGAATGTCACCAACTTTGGTTTATATGTTCAGGGTGAGGCAAAGCATACACTAAAGCACATTTTGTACCAATACCTTTGTCCATCTTCATAAAATATACAATCAAACACTGATACAATTTAGGCGGAAATGAAATTTGAAAGGAAAAATCCAAAAGGTATGTTTATACTTTTCTGTCATTATTAAAGTTAGGAGACCAATCCCCAAAAAACCTTATTTATATGTACCAAAGAGTGTTATCTTATGATAAAAGTTGGTTATTTGACTATTAGGGGCTGGTAACCTCTTCTGTCACCAGCCCGTAACAGGTTGCTAGTGCAACAAGGTCTTCAAACTGACAAATAGAATGGGCCCTATAGGTGTAAATGGATGAACGAAAGGACACAGACCATAGATTAAGGCAAAAAACAAGATTTAATATAATTATTTTTATATAATATATATAATAATAAACCCATCTTTATCATTCTTAATGCATTTATCTTTATATTTAGTTAATCTTTGAATTAACATGGCGATAGGCCTACTGTGAGCCAACAGGCTTGCATTACAGCATTTTCATATGACATAAATGAACATTTTTGACTGAACAAATCAAACATTAGTTAAAATTAAACCATAAATTCAAAATACATACACAGCATTTAGTCAAATTTGCTTTTTAAAGTCTATTATTGTTCTTACATTTAAACCAGGTATATCAGGGACGACATTTAGCCTATAGGATTTAGACAACTTTTTATCATTCCTAAAATTTGCCTTAACATTAACATACATTAATGTTAAATATATACATAAACATATAAATCCTACAGAAAAGGAGAGATATCATAGAATGAGACAGAAATTACATTACACTAATGCAAGCACATTAAACAGCGTTTAACATTTAAAGTAGAGATTTCGGCTCAATGAATGGAAAAATCTAAAATGAACCATACATTCAAACCTTAATGAATCATCAATTATATACAGTTACAATATGACTCAACATTTTTTCTAGTGTGCAACTATGCTGTCATTCACACTTCCGTTAGCGCACTCAAGACAGTCACAGGAACAGAATTCAGTGCATGGCAATCCAGCTACAAAACAAGGACATTTCTTCTGTTGACTGCATTTTTTGTCCTTGCAGTAGAGATTTGTTAAATCTCGCACTTTTTGCGGTGCTGCCGCTTTTTCATACATCACTGGTTGCATGACTCCCTCCATCAACCTCCAACCTTTCCCCACAGGACTCCAAAGCACTGTTTTTTTTTGGTGACTGTGGCACCAAACAGCAGTTTGGTACATGGCTCTTAGTTTTCCAATTTTGAAAAAGCTGCTCGTTGTATCACACCCTGTCAGTGCATGGCAAGCTGGGAGGCACTGGCATAAGGCTTTCCCTAGCTTTTCACAGATCATTTTGATGGGCACAAAAAACCTCTCTTGCCTGTTTTGCTTTGTGCATCAGGACTAAAGCTGAGCCAAAACATGCGCAACTTGCATAATACAACAGTAACACAAGGACATCGGAAAGGCAAGCAAGGCAAGGCAAGGCAAGGCAAGGCAGGCAAGGCAGGCAAGGCAAGGCAAGCAAGGCAAGGCAGGCAAGGCAAGGCAAGGCAAGGCAAGGCAAGGCAAGGCAAGGCAAGGCAAGGCAAGGCAAGGCAAGGCAAGGCAAGGCAAGGCAAGGCAAGGCAAGGCAAGGCAAGGCAAGGCAAGGCAAGGCAAGGCAAGGCAAGGCAAGGCAAGGCAAGGCAAGGCAAGGCAAGGCAAGGCAAGGCAAGGCAAGGCAAGGCAAGGCAAGGCAAGGCAAGGCAAGGCAAGGCAAGGCAAGG